TCTCTTCTGAGATTCGAAACCGCGTCACCCATTGCTGCAGTCAGAGACGTTAGCACTGAGCTATTTGGGCTCACAATTGACCTCCTATAGGAAGCCCTAAGAGCTCATTGGTAACGTCTCTGACTGCAGCAATGGGTGACACGGGTTTGAATCTCAGAAGAGACATCAGTTCCTTCAGGGTTGCAGATACGCCTGCCTTGATGACTGGTGAATGCCACGAGACCTAGGTCCAAGGCTTCCTGCCGATCGCCTCCAACTATCTAATATTATCGAATACAGGATCTATAGTTTACGAAGTGTGGTCTCCAATCACTCAGCCAGTGGGACAGAATCTAATGGGCTATGAATTCTAACTTTTGCTAGTTTCAGATATATATAGTGCTGGAGACAATCAATGTCATCGGCTAGCATTTGTCTTCAATTCGGCGGATAATAAATAAATAAATAAAATCCAAGTTTCGAATTCGTCTCGTCACAAATGATATGATATGTTCGAAATATCACCTAGTAAATAATACTTTTTCATTGTGTGTATGTGTGTGCGACATATGCAGTAAACAAACTAATGTGGAGTTATATACTACAATAATGTCCAAATCTTAGAAATATATATCAATAGATTTTAGACTTTTCAGTTGTGAAAAACAACCGATGTTTATAAAATAAGCCTTAGAAGTAGAAGAGTCAGACACACCTTATTCAATATATTTTCAGTCAGTAATTGAAATTTAACGAGCCTTCTCTAATTTAATCTCTCGACACTGCAACAGTCACAAGCATAGGGTGGTCTGTTGGTAAGACAAATACTTGCATAGCCTTTACAACCTCTTTCTTCCTATACCATGTGAATTACTTATATCGATTGGATGTTGCATTTATATTACTCATTAACATGTATTCAAAGTTACGAGTAACTTATTTTCAGTCACAGTGGGCTTGAAACTGTACCAAAGCTAGTAACATGTTAACACGGGAGACCGTAAAATAAAAACGTATTAAATCAGGTATAATACATAACTGGAAGATTGACACTGGTCTCACCATTGTACCATCAGTGATTCAAGAGTATCGTGATTCTGTACTAAAGTGAACTGCTAACAAAACCACTTTTTGTGTGGTTGAAGGGTGGAATCCATGAATCACGTTTCGTTTTGTTTGATACTCGTCAGTTAAATGTATCTGCACCACTCGTGAGTAATGATTTTCTCACTAAGACTCGAATCCTGCAAGCATTGTGTTCCATCAAGCCATTCCTGACATAAGTATGTACATGCCATTAGTGGGAGCCACCGTCAACCTAATAATATCAAAGCATGCGTACTAGGAGCCGCCGGTATGTCAACAGAGACCGAGCATTCTGGTCGAATGCAATCGGTCTACGGAAAGTGCAAATATAAATAACTCAAATGAAGTCCTTTCTCCTCTCCCTTTTGTTAGCATAAAAATGATAACAACCATAGTACACAACACAGGAGTCAGACAAGGGTGCTTATTATCACCAGTGATATTCTTAATTGTGGTGAACTGACTGGATTATGCGGAACACCACACATGGGGGGGGGGGTCGAGAAAACAGGAATACTGCGGACCACCGATAAGATGACCCTAGAAGATATGGATTTCGCTTGTAGATGATTTATGTCTAATGTCACACAAAATCGAAGACTTATAAGCGAAAACCGACAAACTGGTCGAAGAAGCAGCCAGAGAAGACAGGACTCCAGGTGAACATAGACAAGACGGAGGTTATGAAAATAACCAATCAACAACAACAGTAACATCCACCACCAATCACCATCAACGGGAGGGATTTAAAAGAGGTTACTTCATTCACTTATCTAGGTAAGGAGCACTGTCTCAACTACAGGAGGAACGGACGAGGATGTCAAATCGAGAATCGGGAAGGCGAGAAAGACATTCATCAACCTGAAACCAATCTGGAAATCTTCGTCACTCCTCAGCATCAACAACAACAAAATTCGGATTTTCAATACAAACGTCAAGTCAGTTCTTCTATACGGATCAGAAACTTGGCGGGTCACAAAGAATATTTCCAACAGCCTTTTGCAAACCTTTATCAACAACTGTCTTCGCTGGCTCTATACTGAAGATCAGATGGCCGGAAAGAATCACCAACAAGAAACTGTGGGAACACGCAAAACAAGAACCAGTCGCCCAACAAATATGGAGGAGAAAGTGGAGATGGATTGGACACTCGCTGAGGAGGCCACTGGGTGGCATCGCGCGTCACGCCAATGCTCGAGTGGAACGCGGAAGGGAAGCGGCGAGTGGGACGTCAGTGCAAGGGTGACATGGAGGAGATCGTGTGAAGAGGAGTTGAAACAGTATGGACTAACATGGATGCAGGTGAAAAGTACAGCAGAAGACAGAAGCAAGTGGAGACGTGTAGTTGAAGCCGTATGTTCCACTAGGAACCCAAGGGATCAATAATAATAATAATACCATAGTACACAGATTCTCGATTTTTTAAAATTTTATCATGATACTTTTCACAAAAGATTTTTGCCTAAGATCAATTTTGAATACTAAGTAATATTTACTCTAATTGGGTATGCAAGTATGGTTAGTATTACGGGTCGCCACAAATAACTCTCGTATGTCTGTCCCCTACCTTACAATATGGTTTTCACACAAAGACATTTCTTATATATATAAAAAAAATGTCAAACCCTGGTTGATACATCCTCGCTTTATAATTGGTTGTTGAAGTATTTTAATTTTAAGAAATAAATGATATATGAACAACATAGATATATATGTATATATAATCATGTTTTCCCTAAATTGATGTCTTAAAATTCATGCGTTTTCTTCGTGTGTATTCTCAAAGAAAGCAAATAAACAACAACATTTAAGTACTCTCTTACATTTATCCTTCCTTTTAGGCAATATAATTCAAATTAAATTGAGGGAAACTTAGTGATATAAATAAAAATTTGATTACAAATACTCTATGACATTTAATTTTTCTTTTCTTTAAAATACTATACGTTTGAAAACTTGTGGAAATAAATGGAGTGTTTGACAAAATGTTCAGTCAGTTACTGATTTTCCTCATAACCTAGAATTATAAAAATATTAAAAAAATAATACTTCATTAGATTCCTATTGACAGGTGGAACTTTTTTCAGCTTTCATGATGCTGACCGGTTAGATACTGTTTAGAGTAACCAGTATGTGCTGCCTGCTAGCCGGATCAAAGTGATCTAAATTGATTCAACTGTCCGAAATGATTGGTTACAGGATTTCATCATGGGCTGATATTGTTTAGAGAACCATTGGAAAACCAACTGGGAATAATGGACAGTTGTTTCGTCCGACTAGTTTGGGACTCTTCAGCAGTACGCACTCATCGTGGTTCGAACTCGGTCATATAGGGCATACGAATAGATGAGTTTCAGCACAAACAAGTGAAACAGATGTCCTATATATATATATATACATATATAGATTATGGCTTGACTCCACACCGTATTTTCGGTACAAGTATGGAATTTTCAGCATGTGATACCGGTAGCCCAAATTTTACGGGCCTACCATTGATAACAGGTGTGTGTTGGCAGGAGATCGAACCCCAGACCATGTGCTTGGCCGTCCTGCGTCCTAACCACTCTGCCACCGACGCATATATATTTATATATATGTCTAACAAGGGTTACTAGTTGATGTGAGTAGTAGCCGACTACTCATTTCAGTCAATCAACAGTATATAGCATCATAAAATTTTATTTGCTTTCTTGATGGTCATATGAATACGAGAAGACGTTCAGCGAAGAGACTCTTTTCACAAGGCGAATTCATTCACATAGCTGTACAATCGCATTTATATATAACTACTTTTTGTCTGTGTGTGTACATGAGGTTTGTCAAGTTTAGATAATTGATCAGGTAATACAAGAATGATCTAATATAGAAACAAGGTTAATTAGACAGCAACTAAAGTAAGATTGATTTAGTAAGTTAGATGACATAATATAATTGACTAAAATGCTTCAACTTAGGTCAGAATAGCAACAGAGGTAATTACAGGTAGAGACTAAGTTGAAGCGGGGTAGAGAATAATGCCATTTAAATTAGAAGTGAAAATGAGCAAATAAGTTGGATGACGAAACATAAATGACTAGAAATTGAGCGTTGTTCAAGTCAATAACAGTGGTAGTGAGATGTAGAAATTAAATCGGGTGGGGATAGAGAACAGTAAAGTTAAAAATGTAAAATATTACAGCTGGAAAGACAAAATAATACTAATGGAGAGACAGGAAGAAAAAAGAGATTAGGTAGAATTTACTTGTTGGGTAATAAGATAGATTATATCCATTGGAAGTGTAGTGATTGGACGAACTTCTTCTGTATGCAGAGTTCAGGACTTAGCAAGTGAATTGCCACTGCTTCTGCAGTTTGAAAAAGTCTGATTAGTACACCTTTAGGAAGACTGCTTCGTATTCTGTAGACGACTTTGAAGTTTGTTTGAGGTGTAGTTTGGTGGAGCTGCGGGGGCATCGTTTTTCTCTTTTGTAATACCATGTTGGTAAGTGTTTGGTGATACGTTTGGAAAGGGCACGCTGGGTACGGCCGACATACCTGGTCACCTATGGTATCGAGGAGATCGTACAATTTTTTCTTCTTCCCTTATGCTCCGAGTAGAGTTAGAGATGTAAATCTTGAAGTTTTAATTTTTCGCAGCTCTAGTATTGTTTTGATGAGGTGGGGTTGTTAGCCTCACTTCCAAACTTTCATTTTCTCCGAGCTTACTTTTGACTGGTGAGGTGTACGCAGGGGGGGGGAATCGACTCCTGTGTTGTTGGCAAGCATACATACATATTAAGATAATTTAAGTTTGCATAGGAAGCTGTAGTGAAATTTCCACTTTGAAATTTGTAAACTTCAAATTGAAAATTCCGCATTGTTGTTTTATTTTGCATCTCTAATTTAATCATTTATCTTTTCTTTCTAAACACTTACAGTTGGTTTACATTAATATGAACAGGGAGCAGTTTTCTCCATCCGAAGAACGTTGGTCAGACTATTCAAGAGCTGAATTTTTAGCTAGACCATATAACAGTCAATCTGAAGAGCAAGATTCCAGATATCTTTCATATGAACAACATGATGAAAGTGATATACGACGGCAATCTTATACACAACTGCCTGCTGTCACCACTGTTGTCAGAGGAGATAGACAATCAATTGTTCTAAATCATAGTCCTTTATCAAATACAGGTCTTCAAACACGTGCCAGTGTCACTTCCACTGCTGCTGCTGCTAGTGCTGTAACCGGTTTAACTGGTATAGCTGGTATCGCTGCTGCAGCTGCAAGTCAACAAGGCAAACCGCTTAATTTAGCTGCGCTTACATTGGCTGCTCAATCTGTTGCAGCGAAAAAACGTGCTGGAGCCAGGGCGCAAGCTGCTAATACAAGACCAGAGCGTACATTATTCTGTTTGACACTGAGAAATCCTTTAAGAAAACTTTGTATAAAAATTGGAGAATGGAAGTATCCTTTTTCTTAATGGATTAATATGAGCAAAACTACAACTATTTCACTGTTTTTGTTTTTAAAATAATGACTAATTTGAATGTAGTTACGCTTGCAGTTGTCTTAATTCGACTTGACGTATAGTGTTCACAAGTGACAACGAAACTTAGTTTCAAGTGTTGGTTTGTAGGGATTTGGTTAGTTATAGGATTTTCATCATGAGCTGACATTAGTTAGAGAACCATTGGAAAACATGGGAGTACTGGACAGCTGTTTCGTCCTAGTTTGGGACTCTTCATCAGTGTGCACCCACCGGGATTTGAACCCAGGGCCTTCGCCTTGTAACCAGAAGGTCTTGGGTTCGTTTGTCCCAAACTAGGGCGAAACAGCTGTCCAGCACTTCCAGGTTTTCTAATGGTTCTCTAACTAATGTCAGCTCATGATGAAAATCCTGAAACTTATTTTCTTTATAAGAGGTGCTGAACTGAGAATTGTAATAAGTGAGTATCGTGACAGAATCTGAACTACAGGCCTACGAATTACTAGTCTGGCATTCAACATGGTGAGCCCACCTCATTAATGATCAGGTAATCATTTTACCTCAATCACTACGGGTAATGGTAAGCTGTTACATGAATGAATCTAACATTTCTATGCGTTTTGCAATCAACATGTTCCTCTCCTTCGAAATCAGTATGATTAAGATTTTTTCTATAGTTGGTTTGTAAGGGTTAGTTTTGTATTTACGAGTTGATCACGGATTGATATCAGTTAGAGAAGCATTGAAAACCAGCACTGGAGTACTGGACAGCTGCTGTTTCATCCGACTAGTTTGGGAATCATCGGCGGTACGCACTCACTGCCAGGGTCCGAACCCAGAACCTTCCGGTTACAAGGCCAGCGAGCTCGTATACCATTCAGCCACTGGGACCCGATCCAATGGCTCACAAGCTTGCCTTGTAACCAGAAGTTTCTGGGTTCGGACCCTGGCAGTGGGATGAAGCAGCTGTCCAGTACTCCCTGGTTTTCAGTGGTTCTCTAACTGATTATGATTGCCAGGAGAGGGCGTGGTTGGGCTACTAGTTTGAATATAAACAGACATTATCATGGTACTATTGAAAGTAATCTTATCACCTGTGACAGACACATTTATTCATAAAATATTTAGACGTGTAGTTAGTTCACTAACAAACATCAGCTCTTATACTCCAATACGATATAACTGTACACGCATTGAATCACTTCGACTATAAAAAAGGCATTTATTATCATTTGGCTTATAACCTTAATTTAACATTTATAGACCATTTGAATATCTTATTCTGCTTACAATTATGGCCAATTGTTGTGCACTTGGCGCAATAACTCCATATCCTGATGGTGATTCAAATACTCTTAATCATATTTTGGTAAGTGTGTGCAATTTTATATGTGTGTTTTCTAAATATTTTTTTTCTTATTCTTGGTTAATAAGGTAACTAGTGTCGTTAGTCTGGTCCTTTGTCTGATGCAGAGACTAAACTCTGTCCGTCAAAGTTGCAGTGTAACCAACATGATAGGTGGCTCGTCATCAAGGTGTACTCTGAATTGTAGGGAACCTTGGACCTAGGTATCCAGCTTCTTGTCGATCGTCTGCAATGTGGATTTGAAAACTTGAAGGAACTCATGTGCCCACTGAGATTTGAACTTGTGTCACGCAGTACTGCAGTCAGAGACTCACGATTGACCCCCTGTAGGACTACTGTTTTAGATACTTTGACTGGACACTAGATAGTAGGTAACTAGTGCCATGAGTCCAGGCCTTTGTTTGGTGCAGTCTGAATTCTGTCGTCAGTCAAGTTTAGAATGTGACCATCATTCTAGGTGGCTCAACATCACGATGCAGTCTGAACTGTCGTTTTTTTTGGAGTGAATTGGCAGAACAAAAAAACACTGTACAACTAAGATAATTTTAGAACAAGACATTTAAGCGAACTATATTGTTTTCAATTAGTTCTCCCTCAGGATTTCCTCTGATTTACATATACTTATGTATAAAAATTTTAACTAATGACGGTGAGTTTGTGGATAAAGTAATAATAATAATAATAATAATAATAATAATGTGTTAAACGTTTTGTACGTCAGTAATAACGATGAGTATAATGATTACAGAATTAATGATAATAAGGTTTATGCAAATGGTGATATGAATAACGAAGGTAGTAATATGTGTGGATATGTAGACAATTCAATAAATAAATTAGATCAAATCCTAAAAGTTAAGCTATACTTAAGATGAAGTGGACAAATAATCAGAGTTTAAATAAATATCACCAAAACTTATTAATAAATGTGTAAAACTTGGGCACTGTGGTAGTAGGTGATTCCGTATTAGTTTGTTTATTAGATGTATCACACAGTGAAACAGTATTAGTTACTGGATGACAATGTTTCGAACACAATTCATCATTGTCCATAATCATTTCAATTATAATCACACGACTTCGAAACCTGAGTTTTAAAGTTTCCTTTGTTCTCTTCTATTTGTCGTCGTAGGGGTAGTAAAATTTTCCAGATGTCTGGATGGACAAGTGTTGTTTCATTTCTATTACATTTATTTGCAGTTGATTCGATAAACAAAGCTCCTGTTATCAATCTCTCCCTCCCTCCACGCTGTGACATTAGATTTTAAAACTGTCATCCTATCCCATCCTATTGTATGGTTGTGTGTAATTGCATGCAGTGAGTGCTATAGCTGAACTGTTCTCTAGATTTCTTATCTGATTCGGGTCAACTAATATAGATTTTGCTAGGTATTTATGTTCGGCTAGTCTGACTGTCCCTGTTCTACTAGTTTGACCTATGTATTTGACCTGACAATCATCACAGGCAGGGTATTAGACAATCTAAATTGTTTTGTTTAATTGGCTCCCCAGGATCCTTTAACCGACAAAGCTTGTTTTTAATTAAGTTTGTGGGTTTGAATGCCAGCCACTTTTATTCCTGCCTTGTTCAGAATTCTGCGTAAGACTTCCGAGGTTCCTTCCTTGTATGGAATTACTACTGATGATGGCGTTGTCATTATCCTGTGTATGTTTGACAGGCATGTCATCATTAATATTATTATTATTATCACTATCACTACTATTATTTTATGTATTTATTTTATTTTTACATTTCCCTAAATACTTCCTGAATATTTTATCAGGGTAATTATTAAGTTTCAAAGCTTCTTTTTTATGCCTCACTTCCCGTCTTAGATTTTCCTTGGTACTACTTAGTTTTTGTGTTCTGTTACCTAAACATTTCACCAATCCTACATTTACTGACATAGGATGGGATGATCGGAAGTCATTAAAACTTGAAGGAAATGGAAAATAAGAAAGCGTGAAAAGGGTTTCAGTTGGACTTCTCCTAGGCTGGGGGAGAGACTAAGGTAGAGGAAACTTTTTTGCATGCAAAGGCACTAGGATTGTTCTCTCGAATTAATTCCCATAGCTTCGGCAATGTGTAAAAAGCCGGTTCGAATTCCATTAGAAAGGTTCAATGGAATACAGTAGATAACTTTGAAGGCACTTCTTCTATCCACTTAGTGACCGCTATCATCAATCAGATGAGACAAAACACAACTTCTTATAGATTTTATATGGTCATTTCCAAACCGTAAAGGAAGATTCTCATTAAATACGTTTGTTGAGCTGTCTGGTTTTTTCGCCCTATATAGCTTTCTCCGCAGGAGCAGCTAAATTTGTAGATACACACATAAGTAGCACAGCTAGGCAGTTTTTTTCGTTTGAGCAATCATAATTGGTCAGATAATTTCTCTTGTTGCTATTCAGTAGCAATGTATAAGAGCCATCCAAAAGTCCATTTGATTTTACCACTGAGCTAGCTATTCAGAGAGTTGTAAGCTGACTGACTTATTCCTTACGCGAGGCAGATATTAGTTACTGACCAGCCTAATTGGCTTATGGCGAGTTGTCATCTGAAGTGGTGACGACTAGTGGCGTCCGTCAAGGATGCCCATTATCCCCATTCCTATTCAACTTGATCACAGACGTAATAATGGACTTAACCCTAACACACTTCAGCGACTCAGGGATTGACTTGCAACCAGGGAATAATCTCGTCGACTTAGAATATGCGGACGATATAGTCCTTCTAGGCGAGGACGCTGACAAAATGTTGAGTCTACTGAACACCTTGAGCAACAATCTTCGTATGTTTGGCATGCGATTTGCCCCTGTAAAATGTAAGATGATGCTGCAGGATTGGATTTCACCGACCCCTGGATTAGAAATAGGAAGTGAAGTGGTAGAGCACGTTGACCGCTTCACTTATTTGGCAAGTACCATCAGCCAGTGCCAACGGGTTGATCTCCGACGAAGTCTCAGAACGAATACAGAGGGCTAGTTTCGCATATGCCAGTTTACGCCGTCTCTGGCGTAGTCGTGATATCCGGCTGGCTATCGACCAAAGGGCGGGTGTACTGCTCATCAATCCGCTCCGTCCTCCTTTATGGCTGTGAGACCTGGTCATTGAGAGTGGAAGACATGAAAAGATTAGCTGTGTTCGACCATAGGTGTCTGCGTTCTATCTCCCGCGTGAAGTGGTATAATAAGGTGAGCAATATTCAGGTTAGGCATCGGTGGAGTGTTGGGTAACGAGGGGAAATCAGTCGACGAGACTGTGAAATTACATCGACTGAGATGGTTAGGACATGTGTTACGTATGCCTAGTCATCGCCTTCCTCGACAATGGGCAATGTTAGCTGACTGGGAGAGGGTCAGGTTGGAAAAGAGCTGGCGGCAGTCAAACCAAAACATGGCGTCATCAGTCAATGAAATCCACAACAGTTAGTCTAAGCCACGTAGGAAGGTGTGGACTTCCTGACTGGTTGGGGTCCTTTGGACGGTAAAAACCAATGAAGGCTGGAAACAATCGGTGACATGGTTCAAAATCGTTCTCAATGGCTGGTGCAGATGCATCCACTCCTTGTGACTTATGATTTCCAATTAAACTGTTTTGTTCTTCGCTATTACTATTCCTTTGTCTCAGACCTCTGTTTACTGTCTCTAATATTCATTTCTCCTACTTTATTCTCTGGCTTTGTGTGCTACAAGAAGGGAGTGTGGCGACTTGAAGTGCCGCACATATGTGCAAAGTTCAATGTCGAAAACCGACCGACCAACCGACATGGAAGTTTAAGAATGGCAAGTTTTTCTTCTATCCAGCTGCCAGCTTCGTTTATGATGTCGGTTAGCTTATGAAGCATAATTCACACTCAGCTGACTGTTTTAATCAATATCTATAGCTAGATAGCCATAATGGTTGTAATCAGACAGTTGTTTTTTTTACATAGAGCTTCTTATTTGTAACTCATGTGTATCACTTGTTCAGTAATAGAATGCTCGCCAAAATTTGGCCTAGAAGTTAAGCGCACACTGCTAATGAGATACTTTTCAAAAGAAATACAGTGGCTGTCAGTTGTTTATACCATTCTAACTTGAATAGTGGTTAGTCCTTTTAAATAGTTCGGAGACTTGACGTGTCTAGAAAGTATTTAAAGCAGGCTACCGCAGGCTTTTTATCGACAGCTGCCTTCGCTGGCTTCATACTGAAGGTCAGATGGCCAGAAGGGACTAGCAACAACAAACTCTGATAAAGTACCAATCAAGAGCCTATTTTACAACAAATATATGTAAAAGTGGGCGGAGATGGAATGAACACACTCTGAGGAGACCGCTGAGCGACATAGCGTGCTAGGCTCTCGGGTAGAACCCGAATGGAAAACTATGAAAAAGGCGTACGAGTGTGACACAAAGAAGATCGTGTGAAGAGGAGACGACAGCGTACTGGTCACTAAGGAAGCTGCTAAATAAGGCCACAGGGAACAGGATGAAATGGGGATATTTTTTTGAAGCCTTGAGTTCCACTTGGAACCTTGAGGGAATAATAAGAAGATTATATTAATGACTTGAATAATGATTATTCACCAGTTCTGTGGAGTTGTGGCTGATTTCGGTCAATGGACCTCTGGTACGAGTCCTGTTTCAATTAGTTCAGCCTGGACAACTAGGTATTTTCGTCAGTCCTTACAAAAGAAGTGTGCTTCACTCCTAGCCTGCTACATAAGAAGTCTATTTAGAGTAATGGAGTTATAACTTTCCTAATATAACTGTTCTACTACTATTTCTTCACCAGCAGTGTTTTTCAAAACTACTTTTTATAACTGGTGGAGACTAAATGTCAGTCTTTATGTTAACAATGTTAACGGCAGCCGTCTCAGAGCTTTAGACAGCCATCATCCAATATGATCATATTTTCACGCCTTAAAAGTTTCTGAAATATAGGCATACTTTGTGGTGTACAGCAGTTGGCATATTCCGTGACATGGCTGAAGATAGTTCACAATGCCCCAGATGTA